TCCAATCAGCGGCTAACTTTGTCTCTAAATCGGTCCCCCATACCGACCATAGTGGTCAACTCCATAAATGCTCCGCAACCCCGCCGCTCTTTTGTAACGAAGCCTCTTGGTCTCCCCGCAAGCTCAGGCAGACGAGTACCCAACAGTATTTCTCATCGTCGAATATCATACATTTCCTCCTCCTCGGCGCCACTAGACGGACCGGCCAGCACGTCATATCTGAATTACTCTCTCAAGGTCATGCAGCGATAGCCCTCGTCCGTACCTCTGGCAGCCTCACCCCTCGTCCTGGCCTCACCGTCGTCACTGGCTCGCCACTGTCGAAGTCCGACATAAAAATTGCTCTCTCAGCGGCGCCTTCCTTGACACCTTTTGCAGCAATCATCACATTGGACACAGTCCGCAAGTTTGACAGCCCTTTCGCGCCTCAGCTCTTACCTCCTCGCTTCCTGACCGACTCATGGTCCAATATTTGCGAGGTTCTGGAGCATGCCGGCATTTATCGCATTGTAGTGAGGTCGACAGCAGGTGTAGGGGATTCATGGGCTAACCTACCGTGGCTGTCCAAGGCATTCGTTGGATAGACCAACATCAAGTACGCTCTCGAGGACCACGGCCTCGTAGACAAGGAAATTCGGTTAACGGAGATGGATTAGACTCTTGTGAGGGCTTCGATGCTGCAATTTGACGATCCGAGGCAGAGGCCGACTGACACAAGGGCGGACGTGCAAACGCTGGACAGCAAGGGTGACGGAATGCGTATGACTGACAGCGTGAGTGTTTCTAGTGTGTCGAGATTCCTGATTAAGGTTGCAGTCGAAGGACTCTTTATCAAAAGCGCAGTGGTTGTACGGGATTGATGCCACCGAGGGAGTCGTAGACTTAGCGATTCTTGGGGAATCGCTGCGGCGGAAGAAACCTGGACACTCCCCTCGCTAACATATTTAATGAAAGAAGCGCCAGTAGGTAGTAGAATTTGAGAGCTTGAAATCCTCCGGTGCTCCTGTTACAAGAAAGTGATGAGTGCTAGTGCCAAAGCTGTCCACACAGAAGCCATCCTCACACGTTGCTGGCAGGAGCGAGGCTTGGAGGTTCCAGGCCTAAGACAATGGGCACGTTTAGATCGGCGATAGACGCATCACCTACCACTACTGTGAGCACAGCAAGACTGCAATTCTTCATACGTACCACATGCGCTGCAACCACCACCGAAGCTCTTGTTCAATAAGAGGCTTCAAATTCATATCCTCCTACCGTTTAGCAGGTTACGGTCCTTTCTATGACCTTCGCCGCCGTTCGTATGGAACACAAATCTCTGAGTACCCTACCATCGTCCCATTCTTTCCTGTGATTGACACAAGCAATATCCTAGTTTAAGAAAAGGGAAGGAAGAATTCAAGCTAGCTCTAGAATGTTATAAAAAGCAGAAGTACACCGAGGAAGAGCAGCTGTTGCGACAGTTAGTCCAGCCGCAGGAGAAGGTACTTGGCGCGGACCACAAGAAGACACTTGCACGTAAAGAACTTTTACGGAATATAATGGTGGCAATAACGCCGTCTGTCCTTACAAACGTTCTTGCGCAACCCGTTATTAGTTAACGAAGCAACCTCCCTGCCAATAGCGACTAAAGGCAAACAGCGTACAACGACTCTGATATTTAACAGGTCTCGCTCTTGTTAGGTCAAGACAATGTGTAATAGAGCAAAATTCTGAGTATATATATTATCCTTGACGATTAACTGCATAGACCTTCTTGACACCTTTGTTGACCTTAGATACTCTGATCATGGCTTCCTTTTACTAAACAAGGCCTACCGCTATGTCTTCGGCCTAGCAATCGCTCAGTTTGTGGCTGCCTAGAACCCGGTGACGACTAATTCAATAAACCGAGAGAAGGGCGAACAAGGCTAGCATTGCTACTTTCCAATGGATGAGATCCTTCAGCTTGAGGTGAAAGGAGTCCTCGGCCCTGGAGGATTCAGACAGGTTGACTAGGTCGTTAGCACAATCAGCTTCTGACAGTCTTCGTTAAAGCCGGTATCTTAGGGCACTATATTTAGTGATCGAACGAGAAAACACACTAAACGGTTTATTGCTGAGACTGGAATTCTGAAGCATTGAAAGCACCACTGCATAGTAGAGTTTGTTTGAAGATACACTGGGTAAAGATATATAAGCCTGATAATGTCCGTTATAGCTGACATGGACCTGTCTACCTACCTTGCGCTTGCCGACAGGCCTAGATATAGAGATTTGCGTACCTCCTTTAGCTGTCTGGCTAGAACACTTGAGTTTCTGCACGGGGAAAGCATTCAGCATAAAGATATCAAACCAACCATGGCGGCAACGTCCTGTGTGCTAGTTTTGGGCTGCCATTCAATTGTACAGATCAAGATGGTAGCACTACAGTTAGGTGAATGGAACAACGCCGAAGTATTACACGCCTAAGATGGCTGACTATAAGCCTTAGAACACGTCGTTTGACATCTAGAGTCTAGAAGTTGTCTTTCGTAAGATAATAGTGGTGCCTAAGGACAGAACAATTAAGTATGATTATGACTTCTTTAAAAAGCATAGGTCACGGCATGCATATGTGCGCGCGAATCTTACCGGCACCTATACTCTTGCTACGGAGTTTAAAGAAATAGGTAGTCCTACCAACAACGCCGCTTAGGTAGGGTGAGAACATGGTTATGTTCTGACCATAGCTGCGGTCTACAGCAGCGTCGTTAATGGCACATATCGCCAGTCAGAAAGAAGGTAAGAATAAAGCTTTTTGCGGGATATGCTGCCTTTTGCCTGGCAACGTCTCGAGCGAATTCAATGCGCTAGAGTTAAGCTAATACTAAATGAGGTTATTGCATCATGCTCTGCTAGATTAGAAACCAGTATTAACAAAATAGAAGGCTGATATATAACCTCATGTAGCTACTAACAAGCAGCGTGAATTTAGCGGCACGATTACAAAAAACAAGGCGCCTAGGCACCACAAAATTGCTAGCTAGGCTTAAGCTTAACTAGATGCGTTTAGACTAAACTTAAATATATAAATAACTAATAGATAGCTAAATAGAGTAAAGCATAGAAAAGAATAGATACTGTCTATATAATAATAGTAAAACTCTATCTAGAAAAGTAGTAATTTATTTAAATTTAAATAATAAACTTAATTCTTTTACTAAAAAGTAAGTCTACTGTATCTTCTTGTATATTATATACTTTACTTATTTATTATTATACAGCTTTAGACACTATATGTATATATATATATATTATTTAGTAATTTAGTAAAGCTTTTTAGTTTTATAGTTGACTAGAAAACTACTATATACTATATAGTTGCTAAATTAACTATTAAAGTAAATGTTTTAGATGCTTTATAAACTAATAACTTTATTAATATTGAATAGTAGAAGCTATTTTTAATACGCATTCAGCTTTTAATAATTAATTTTCTTCTATCTAGTGTAATAATTAGTAGAGAACTAATAGAAATTAAAATTAAAATACTTTAAAAATTTTAAACTAAGTTTATATATTTTAATATATATTAAAGCTAGTTATATTAGAACATTTTTTGCTAGTAGAGTACATGTTAACTAGAACCCTACTATATTAATACTTATAGATAAAAATATAAAAACTTTATAGTTTCTATACTATTTTAATAAAAGTAAGCGCTAGGTATAATAACACATTTATAGAAAAAACTTAAAGTTTAACTCTATTAAATCTTATTGCAACAGCAATACTATAAAACATTTATATATTATAGAAAATAGTAATTAAAACTTTTAATTTAATTATTAAAAAGCAAGGTATTAATATAGCTAGCTATTAGTTTTTAAAAAGATAAGCTTTTATAGCATTTTACCTTTCTAAATATACTTTGTTTAATACTTTTATAACTCTAAGTTAATTTTATATAAAAATTTTAAAAAATTATTTTAATACTACTACATTTAGTTACTCTCTCTATTACTAGTTTTTAAAACTTTAATAAAAGCTAGAAAAATTAAAACAAGTTTTATTTAAATATTTTTAAATAGCTTTTAAATTTAGTGTAATTATTTTATATTATAGTAAAGAAAAATGTAGAGAGTAAGAAAATCTTTATGTTCTAGTAAAACTTTAACAGTTTAGCAATTACTATGTGCATAGTCTTTGTAAAGCCCTGGTTCTAATTAAAGAGAGTGTAAGAATAGCAACTAAAAAGGGGTGTAAGAATAGTAGAAGCTAAATATTAAAAGATTGTATTCTAATTAGATTTAGAGATATATCTTCTAACCTTGTTATAATTAACTTCTTAGACGGCTCTGTAGTTATGCGCAAACTTAATTATCTACTTAGAGACTCCTCTCTATGCAATCCCGCTTACTTGAAATTGTTTAGAATTGCTACGTATGCGCTTTACACATCTCTTTAACTGTTTATAACTAATAAAAACTGCCTATTAATGTGTTTGAGTCTTATGCAGCTTTTAATTTAATCTACTTAAGCTAGGGATATTTGTCTGCAGTTACAGATATCTCTACAATTTAGTTATATGATGACGTAATTTCACCTCCTACAAGTCATCTATTTATAAGTCTCCTGCTGTCTCGCTCAATCTTTGCATATATAGACCCTTAGGCAAACTCCTTTAGCAATCAATCCACTTCCTCACCTCTGCGCCTACTAAAATCTTCTCCAAAAGTTTCACGCCTTGCTTCGCAGGTGAATTTCTGCTAGCGGTGGGTCTGCTATGCCATAACATTTGTATTGGACCTGTAAGCAGCATCATGAGAGGGCCCGCGACGTCGTTGATTCCTGTTCCGTTCGTGTTTTATTTCTTTGGTGAGAGAATTTGAGCGAAATTGCCGTAGCCGAAAGGAAATGTGTACGATTAGTTCTGGGAGGCGACGGTGGGATCTCTGGTGATGGGTATCGGGACGTTCTTATCTAAACTATGTACATACATGCTAATTTTAGGAATTCCCCCTAACTACTCCGACATCCTCTCAGGATAGTGCCTGAACAATTGCATTGTAGTTTGCCTTCGCCTTGTAGCTCGAATCAAACAGCAATGGGTTCCCACTTGGTCTCCACGAATCCGGATCACGGACGCCCCAAACGGTGATGCCCACACAATTGGAAACCTTCACACAGGCATTAACCACGTCTATCCAGTTCTGGTTGCTGCCACTCTGTATGTCGAGCTCGGTGATACCACACTCCGGCGCCGCAGCGCAAAGAGCGGCCATGGCAGCGGCGGTGCCGGCGGCTTGGTTTCCGTTAAGATGAGATTGAGATCCAATGCCGTCGATAGGAACTCCTGCGGCGATCCAGGCTTTAACGTTCTTGATCATACCTTGGGTTTTGGCGTAGGTGGCAGTGTCCAGGCTGGGAATCTGTTTAGCCCAAGATCTGCGAAAAGTAAATCCCTAGAAACTTACTTGTAATCATTGATATACAACTTAGCATCTGGATCCGCGGCTTTCGCAGTCTCAAACGCAATCTTAACAAAGTCCTGTCCAAGGACATTGTAGAAGACGGAAGAACGGAAGCCGCCATTCTCATCGAAGATCTCGTTGACAACATCCCAAGCGTAAATCTTGCCCTTGTAGCGCCCAATGACGGTCGTAATATGGTTCTTCATGGCTTCCGTCAACTGTGTCTTGTCACGGATCGACGAGACCCATCCCGGAAGCTGCGAGTGCCAGACCGTTGTGTGACCACGGATGAGCTTGTTGTTCTCTGTGGCGAACTTGACAAGGTAGTCTGCGCCATCGAATTTGAAGCTACCCTTGGATGCTTCCGTGGAGTCCCATTTCATGCTATGTGCGCATATTAGCAGGAATGCGACTCTGGTGGGCTCCAGTTCTCTGCTTACCTGTTCTCAGGGGTGACCTGACCAAAATTGGCCTTGATAATGGCAGCATTGGATCCAGCACCAAGGCGGCTTTGGTCTGCGCAGGTGCCAAAGTACTTCTTGCCCTTGGCGACGAACTTGTCGTTGATGCTCTCAGCAGCCTGTCGCCAATCCAGAACCGGCTCTGGATCTGCCATTGGGAAGGCAGACACCAGGGCGGTGCAGAGGACCGATGCGAGGACGAACTTCATGGCGACGACGGGTAAGTGAGCCGTATCAATCGTGGATTGTTGTGGATGTCAGAAGAAAAAGAGATTCGCGAAGGCTGAGCCGCATTCCTCTTATACTACCAACCATCCTATGGCCGGACAAGGCATTCCGTTTATAGCAGATGATGGCTTCGAGAATACCCGTACCTTCTCAGTCAATGTAGATTCATTGCGGGGAATAGGATAGGGACAGTCGAATTCTAGCATTGATTAAGGTGGACGGCTCTTTTGTGCCGGTGATGACAAGACGAGGCGATATATAGTGTGCCATGAAGACGGACAGACAAACAATCTATGCGAGGAGCGGTTTCGCGAATAATGACACGCTCGGCGTAATTCCTTAGATGAGCTTGGTTCTACCGGCTAATAAGGACCAAACCACACCCGGTCAGGTGAACAGCCAAGCTTCCTCGGTTTTATATTGAGAGGAACTTCATCTCATGTTTTCACAATATCGATATCTTTGGGGCGGGTCGGTATTCGTGGAATTTCAGCGTGCACTCAAATCCAACGCCCCTTCACGAGTGAATTCGCCATGGAACCATTTAGCGGCTAGGCGGAAACGATGAGGCATGGCTGCCGGTCTCTCAGCAATATGAAGTCTACACTTCCCAGGGAAAAGAGCGATTGAGCCTTTAATTATCCAGGTAGTCGTTAGGATGATGTTTCTACACCGCGAGAGGCTCGAGGGCCCCACGCAAGAAGAAGAGCTCAATTGGCGGGACCGATATTCAGCGTAGTACAGAGTACTCCAGGAACAGTACAAACAACATTACCTGCCAAATGCCTGCCAAATTTAAAAATAGAGTCTCAGCTATTCTCTATACGAAATGGATTGAGAATTGCGGGGAAGGTCCGAGTGAGAATGTGAGCTTGTTGTAGGCTCCTCTACCTACCTAAGGAGGGATTGCGCACTCAGCATCGCACCTAATACCATTCAGCTTCAAGGTCTACCCCACCAAGTGGAATAGTGGGACGTAGGAAAGAATGCGCATTATTGAGGGTCGAGCTCTGCGGACCCTCTTTCATTCGGGAAGGCGCTAGGCCCTTTCTGTAACCCGATCTCTGTAGATTGGGATCCATTACATCCTCAGACGGCCCACAAAGCCAACGATGTACTCCATCGGTTCACCCATCCTACATATCCGCCACGGTTCCCAGCCCCACCCGCTTATGCGAAATCCCCTCGCTATCCATCCCAGGGATCTCGAACGCCGAATGAATGCAGACTACGAGTCTCAGTTCAGCCTTAAACTATCCACAGGGTTTGCTCTCTCAAGAGGAGCAAAGAAACGCAAACATTGGAGATGGTAATTTATCAGGTGACAATTTGGAGTTGAAGAACTTTGCCATGCATCAAGAGGAGGAGCTATAATTCACTTTGTAACATTCATCGCGGCCACGAGGAAACAAAACACTGCTAGATGCTTCTTAGATACCTGTTAAAAGAAGTATTAAGCAGGAAGCACGAGCACAGAAAGAGAATGCAGGATAGAAGTAGAAAGACAGAGTAATCTTTAGAGTTAGAGGCAAATTTATAGAGGCTAAAAAGCCTATATACCTAATAATAAGCCCTTAGAGTACTTAGAGGTAAGATACCTGTAGCATAACTGTAACGCCTATTAGATAAGAAGATAGGAAACATCTAAACTAATAGAAAGAATCTTATTTATAAACTTAAGAGGCTAGCTTAAGCTATTAAACAGACTACTATTTACTTTTACTTTTACTAATTTACTTTAGCTAATTTTATTAATCAACATAAAACTAAAAAAGTAGAGAAATAAAAATATATACATAACTTTAGAAGTACTAGAAGCTGTTACAATTAGCATGCTCAAGCTACAAGCAAGAGGTGGTGTAACTTAAATACCTTAAACTAAGAACTAAAGGTGCTGCTTTAAAGAAAGACATACCCCTACTAAGGCCTAGGCAAAGCCCTAGGCCTAAATAGAGAACTAGCCTTTAGAATATAGCATAACACATTATTATATTACCCCTCTCTAAAGATTAATTTTATATATATATATATAAAAGAGCTTAAATTAAGCTAAAAAAGAAATAGAGAATTAAAACATACTTTTTAAAGTTACTAGTTAAGGTAGGCTTACTTAGTTATTATTATTATTATTATTTTCTTTAATGTAAGGCTAATAATAGTACTAGCTTTAGTTTTTAAGCTACTAGCTTTATAACTTACTTAATAACTGCTAAAAGATTAGAATAGTTTTATACTTAGTAAGCTGTTAAACTATAGAATATATATTTACTTATATTCTTTTATTTACGCTAGAGAGAGGAGGCTAACCTAGCTCTAGTGCTAGCACTAGTAGTAGTAATATTAATTATGCTAAAGTCTATCTTGCCTAGTTTAAAATATGTAAAAGTATATAAATATATAATTAATTATAAAGCTAGACGCTAAACTGCCTATAAAAACACTAGATAATTATCTAATAATTTTAGATAGCTATCTAGTGTGCGCTAAATTAAGGCATTAGACTTTAGTAAAAAGTTAGAATTTTAATAGTAGTAAGCTAATCTGTTAGTTGGCTCACTCCTCTAGATAGCTACGCATCTAGTAGTAGGTCCCTTCTCTATGTAGCTACGCACGCGGTAGGTGGTGGGCAGCTGTACGCTAAGCGTACAGCCTGTAATAAGAGTAAGTAGGTAAAGATCTTTTTTAAATTAACTACTACTCTCTTTTTCTATATAAAGAAAAAAAGTTATTAAATATATATAGCTTTTAATATATAAGCTAGATAACTAACTACTTTAAAGAACTTAATTTAGCTATACTAATATATAAACATAGTTATTGTCCGTACGCAGCAGCAGCGTCACGATCTGGATACGAGCGATCGCGCACGAGCAGGACCACGTATCTATGTCACATGATGCTTGTGCGCGAACCTCTGTGCGCAAACATCTAGATATCCCCCTTTTCCTCTATATAAAGAAAAGACAAGAGCAATAAAACTAGAAACATATTACTCTTACTTTACCTACCTTATACACTGTGCACACTATACACTACTCTTACTCTTACTACTTAAGTGCTTATACTATAAGTAGCTAGCTATTAGAGCCTATTTAACACTAATTAGTAGTTAATTTAATTAACTATAAATTAGTAAGAGTAATAATAAAGTACTTATGCTTTATAAAGTACTTTATTTTATTACTTATCTCTTAAAAAAAGTAATAATAGAGCACTTACACTTTATAAGGTACTTTATTTAGTTACTTATTTCTTAGGATAGCAGATTAATTCTTTACATTATACAGTAAGCTCTACTACTATATAAAGTAAGAAGAAGATAGTGTAAGACATACACTAAAGCTACTAAAGCTGCACAACCTAGTAGCTAGACAATAGCACATTAATTCTTTACATTATACAGCAAGCTCTGCTACTGTACAAAGTAAGGAGGAGATAGTGCAAGGCGCACACTAAAGCTATTAAAGCTGCACAACCTAGCAGCTAGACAACAGCAGTACCTGCGCAATTTACTGCATAAGCAATTAACTCTACGCCTTGTAAGGCACTTTGTTTTATTACTTATCTTTTAGAAAGAGTAATAACAAAGCACTTATACTTTATAAGGTACTTTATTTAGTTACTTATTTTTTAGAATAGTAGATTAATCCTTTACATTATATAGTAAGCTCTGCTACTGTACAAAGTAAAGAGAAGATAGTATAAGGCGCACACTAAAGCTATTAAAGCTGCACAACCTAGCAGCTAGATAACAGCAGTACCTACACAATCTACTAGAAAAGTAATTAACTATACTATTATAATAAAATCTTATTAGTAACTAACAACTTTATATAATAATAAAAAAAATAAGAAATAATTTTTATTATATAAATAACTTATAAAGGACATAGAAATATTAGAGGCAACACTATAAAATAAAACTAGCCTAAAGTACTAAAATAATAAAATTAATATGTTAAAAGCTTTAACAAGCTTATAGACTTAATTATATGTAAGTTATATAATTACTAATCTACATATAACAACTTAAAAGGGCGCTACCCTTTTAAGTGCGTACATAGAGAATTTTAAAAAATAGACACTATAAGACTTCTTAGCACTTAGCTATGCGTTTAAAAGAGAGCTTATATAAGTGCTAAAGAACAAAGAAATCACACTATAGCTAAGCACTAAAGGTACCTAAGCCTAAAAGCTGTATAATATAGTATAAAAAAAAGTAATTATACTAGAAAAGCTTTATACATAACCTTTATTACTATATAAGGCTCTGCATAGAAGTAGACTAAACATAATGCTGCTATTAACACTAAACATACTAGCATTACTTACTCCTACACTTTAGCTAGCACTACACTAATTACTGTATAAACAATACATGCTACCCTACCTAACGCCTGCTCCACACCCTTAATCGTACACACCACCGCCTGCAGTAGTGTATGCACCACTAATACCACCTGCACAATCTATACTACATTACAACCTGTATAAACTTCTACTCTAGAGGGAAACTACTAAAAAAAAACTTTTAACGTACTTTATAGGCAAGTTGCTCACACACCTAAGTTGCTTACTTTTGCTAAGACCCTACTAAACTACCCTTTCTACACTAATGCATTCCCCACAACACTACTTAGACGCGCTAAAAGAACATTAGATACAGCTTACGCTCTAAGCTTTTAAATAAGACATAAAACTTTTAAAGAAATATGCTATAGCTATGTGTAAAGTTCTATAAAAGATAATAAATAACTACAGCGCTAGACAACTTTTATAAGCTAATTCTACAGCTAAATTATAAAGGCTAGGTAATAAAAAGGAGCAGGTGATTATTAAGACTATACTTAAGCTATATGCGCAAGGAATTTCCCCTTAGATAGCATTTATAGCTAATATAGCTAATTCTTTACGCGCTAAGCGTAATCTAGGCTATGTTTGCATAAACTAGCCTAGTACATTTATAAAGTGTTATTTAAAG